GAAGAGTTGACTTTCGCCCACATTCTGGTCATCGATTCTCTTCTCTCTCTCTCTCTCTCTCTCTCTCGCTCACTCACTCACTCATCTCGTACATGATGTTAGGCTTATGTTACGCTGAGTTTGGCTCACGAGTCCCTCGGGCCGGAAGTGCTTATATCTACTCTTACGTAACGGTCGGGGAATTCATGGCTTTTGTGATCGGATGGAATCTCATCCTTGAATACGTTATTGGTTTGTTTTTCACTCACTTTTGGCCACTTTTCTCATGATTTTGACCCAACTTTTAGGAACGGCATCCGTAGCTCGCGGTTACTCTGGATATATTGATTCCCTATTCGACGGCACGATATCATCACATTTCAAACAGTGGACACCCATTCACGTGACAGGTTTGGCCACATATCCGGATCCAATAGCTCTGGGGCTGACTCTCGCGCTCACTGTCCTGTTGGCCGTCGGAGTGAAGGAATCGATTCGTTTCGCAACAGTCATGACATGCGTTAATCTCGTGGTCGTTGTGTTTGTAGTGATCGCCGGTCTCTTCAAAGTTAATATTGACAATTGGAAACTCAAAGAATCGGATATTCCCGAAGAATACAAGGATAAGGCAGGGAATGACACAATTGATGTAAAAACTTTGTAATAATTGTTTTTGTTTTTGTGGTTGTCTTCAGGCCGGAAGCGGTGGTTTTCTTCCATTCGGTTTCTCTGGTAAACCAATCATTTGATATCATTTGTTATTTTTATGTCACAAACACTTGTTTCTTAGGCATGATGTCCGGCGCCGCCACTTGTTTTTACGGTACGATTTATTCATTTATTCTTGTATTAATTTTTAAAAATCAATTTATTCTTTAATATTCTTTGAAATAGCTTTCGTTGGTTTTGACGCCATCGCCACTACAGGTCTGTATTAATAAAAGCGTCGACTCTATCACTCACTCGCACTCTCTTTTGGTTTCAGGTGAAGAGGCAAAGAACCCGAAGAAAGCGATTCCGCTCTCAATTATTATATCTCTGTCCCTCATATTCATGGCGTACTTCGGTGTGAGCGCTATTCAGACTCTTATGCTTCCGTATTATCTGCAAAACGATGACATCACAAAAGGAGCGCCTCTGCCCTACATCTTCGAGCACGTGGGCTGGACGTGGGCTAAATGGGTGGTCGCCATCGGCGCCCTCAACGGTCTGTCCACCAGTTTGTTGGGCGCTATGTTTCCGTTGCCGCGAGTCCTGTACGCTATGGCCAGCGATGGCGTCATCTTTCGATTCCTGGCCACAATTCACCCCAGATTTCAAACTCCTCTCTACTCGACCCTCATTTCGGGCGCATTGGCCGCCGCAATGGCCACTCTCTTTGACATCACACAACTCGCAGGTTTTGTCATCAGTACATTGTTTTATCTTTTTCGTTATTTTCTAAGCAATACTATCTTTCAATGGGCAGACATGATGTCAATCGGGACACTATTGGCCTATACTTTAGTCGCCGAATCCATTCTCATTATAAGGTATATTCATTTCTCAATCTATTCTTTGTATTGAATTCTTTGTTCAGATATTCAGATGACGTGAAAGCTATAAATCAAGTGAAAAATGAATCGGAAGAAATGCAAACCATAAACCAATATCCACTGACCCGTCAAAATATTTACCGGCAAATCTTCAGCGGCCGTCGTATGACACCCTTTCCCAACCAATTGTCATCAATTGTATCCAATTATCTCATCGGGACTTTAAGTTAAAATATTTCTCAATTCCTTATTATTTGTTGTTTAACTCAATTTATCTATGGTTTTAGCCCTTCTTCTGGTCATATTAGACATACAATTAGTCTTTTTAGAGGACTTACTGTTTAAGGCCGAAGTGGGTCCACTCGTTGGCGTTGGAATCACAACTTTGATTATCATTGCGGCCGCAATCTGTCTCACAAGACAGCCGACAATCCCAGAGTCGCGTTCATTTGAGGTGACTCTCACTCTCTACACTCTCTTTATTGTTTCAGTACTGTATATTAATAGTTATTAACCACAACTCATTATCTTGTCTTCAGGTGCCGTGGGTTCCGTTGGTTCCATTCCTAAGCGTTTGGGTTAACATCTATTTAATGTTTAAGCTGTCGGTCCAGACGTGGATCCGATTCGCCGTTTGGATGATAATCGGTTTGAAATGAATTTATAATTTTATTTGTCATAAAAATAATAAATTGTTTCTTCGACTTAAGGTCTTATAATTTACATCTTTTACGGCATTCGCAACAGTAATGAACGAAAACAAGATAACAAGCAATTATCTCATGATTTGACCGATAAATAAAACACATTGGTTTCAAAGGGAGTAAAAGTTGCTTTAATAATAAATATTTAATTAAATAAATAAAATATATTTATAGTATAATATAACATTGAAATATTTAATTATGTGATATTTAATTATGTGACACAATGCTCTCTACCAATCACTTGGCATATCAATTGTACAGCGAATACTATAGACACAGTGATTGGTAGAGAACATTGTGTCACATAATTAAATATCACATAATTAAAAATTCCTATGTAATAAGTAATTATAACTTTTTTTTAAATAAAAAACACATAAAATTGAGTGGAAAATCTCAGATCAAGTGAGTCGTGGATTACAGATAAATAAATTAATTAAATGTCAATTCAAAAAATAAATCCTAAATCAATGCATTATTTCAATAACTCATTTAAAAGCTCCTGTTTAGTGATGCTCTCGAGGGGGCCATTCTTGGCGGCCAAGTCGAGGGCAGTGGTCAGATCCCAGACTTGGAGGTGACCGTTAGAATGACCGGTCAATATGTAGCGCCGCGACCGGTTGCCCATCGCCACGGCCTCACACTCGTGAACACAGTAAGCGGTGATCATTGAGTTGTCGACCGAACGTAATGTACAGATCTTTTGGCCGTTGGAAGCGG